AAAGATAGAGCACATGTAGAGAATAGGATTATGGAATTAGATACAACATATACCATAACAGGTTACAAAATAGCAGACGATTGTAGAAAACAGCGAGTACCGTAATAACTAATTACAGTAGTCTGTATATGAATGTAGAGTAAGCGGACTGTAGATCTGTCTAAATATAAGAGCAATACAACATGTCTATATTTAAGAGTAGAATATAGTTACAGTATTGTAATATCGTTTTCACAGTAATTTTAGTCCACAGAGGAATCCAGTACTATAAAAGCTTTTTATTACAAGATTCTAAAGAATAGTACAGCAATAATTAATTACTCACAAGAATCTAGTCTAAAGTAATCTGAGCTCAATTAGATATCAAATCTTTTTCCCCTCTTTACGCTCAGATTTGTACACCTTATATACTTTTCTCTGAATCTATTTAAGGCAATAACATCGTCTACAATCAGACATGAATCATCACTACATTTTACAGTATTAATCAAACTGCTTACAATATTATTACTTTACCATTAATGTCCAACACCGTAAGGTATTGGGCATCTTTACAATCTTAGTATTTCAAGTCGTATAACGTCCTGTACCATAATTAGTTAACAGCTATATTAGTGAATAACACTTTCTAATATAGTAGTTACCAGTCACCTAAATCTAGCAGCACAAGAATATCTATTTTTAGAAACTTAACTATTCTAAATATAGTACACAACACAATCAAATATAGCTATCGCTACAAGCAAATATAGGGTGCATCTCTACAAGTATATTCTAAATACACTACAAAGAATAAATACAAAATTGACATGATGATATGCGGAAAAGAAATACTCTTCATCATCATCACGGCAATTTCTAAACATAAATTAAAGCATACGATGAAAATCATCCATATAATTATAAGCTAAGGCGTTATGGATACTATTGGGTATCTAAAGCAGCTTAAAATATTACAATTTCCTGCAAAACGCAAAATTAGCTCTACAATATACTTAATCAATCACGATATCAGTTTAGAGGTGACGATTTGTTAAAGTCAGTAAATTTTTGTATACAGTAGTAAGTTTCATCTAGAAGTTATTTTCCTTGACCAAAGCAATATATTGTTGATAATTGATTGATAATACTTTGATAATTGTAATAACTAAACATTGCTCCCGTTGTAACACTCTTTCTATAGAAAAGGCAGAAGAAAATTAAGTTTTATTTTCTGTCACTACGTGGTACTAATTATAATTGTTACTAATGTACCATCGTGATCCGATGGTGTTTCTCTAGATAATTTTTAACTGTATCTTGATTTGATAAGGTCATAAGTAACATACAGTGCATCTGCCCCAACTACCCTTGCGACACAATAAAACAACACAGTACTTATAATAAGCTTTACGTTAATCCGCAGAACTACTTCTCTAAACCTACGGTATAGTAACTGGAATCCTTGCTAAGTACTAACTCGTTCAACGCAATATACAATATAAAACTATCACGCAACTTAGCCTTAACCTGAATCACTTTTTATTGATCACAGTCCTTCTTATATACTCTTTCAGTAGTTATAAACATATTTACTATGCTGCCAACATATTTTAATTACAAACGTGTTATTACGATTGAATTATCAAATGCGGATATTCGAGGTAATAAACAATTTCATACGTAAATCTACTTCGACTGTAAGCCGTGTCAAACTCCTGTGTTCTCAATATTTGTAACATATTACTATATCATCATAATATCATAATAGGTTATTACTAATAATAACAATTCCTAAAGTAGTAGTTCATACTTTTAAAAAGTTCAAAACAAAATGTTATCATAAACTACACGTCCATATCTAAGTTATTTTGATGACTGTGACAGCATCATCGTCATTGCTATTTCTGCTAATAGTAATAGAACTAGAATCTGAATGATCATCTTCATTGCTCTTATACATCTGAGTTATTTAGTTGTAACTTCACTATTTGATGTGGGATTATCTTGAGCTATTTTTGATGTATCTTGGATAGAGAATGAATCATTATGAGCTGAAATGGAATGATTAGAATTATTTCACAATATCTTTATAATTAATAAGATAGGTGTTTAATATTCTTAATGATATTTATAACAGCTCGGATCTCAGTAGTACTTGGCCAAGATCTATTAGTATCTGCAACAGTTTAATTCTTGATAGAAGAAGAGTCACCATTAGCTTAATTTTGTCTGTACATTATTTTCTTCTGGTTATTGCTATTTACAGATTCTTTTCTAATATCAAATACTTATTCATTAATTATCAGCAGAGATATAATGATTTTCTAACGATTCATTTTCATATATTTCTTGGTCACTATCGTTAGATGGACATTCTTCATACCTAGTAGATGGATCATCATCTGATGGAAGAGGTTCGTAGTCATGTGGCTCTTCCTCGAGATGATGATTCACATTTTTATCAGCTTCTCTACTCTTATTTATTAACGGCCTATTTGTACTATTGCTTTGAATATCACCCGAGCTAGAGCTGTGAGCGCCATTGAGGGCAACAATTAAATTATCGTTGCTATCGCTATAGATATAGACGGGATCGTCTTCCCCGTTGTTGATATGTTCAGAGTCCTGATTACGAGCAAAGGCAGTTTCCGCTTCATCAGCCAAATCGGGAAATGCCGATGGTCTTGTCACTTGATAATTTTCGTGATTAGATATTTGATTAGTAACAGTATTGTCGATTGCATTATCGGTTGAATTTTCAGATGGATAGTTAAACTCTAAAGGCATATAATTGCCAGAGTCGCGTCGAATAAATCTTTGGTTATTGATTATGGTTCCATCAGGATCTTGATATTGCAAATTTGAAGTACCGGTACGAGATTCTGATCGATTTAATAATACATTATCGGTTGATCTCGATGACACTAAGGTTATATCATAATCATTTCCAAGTGGCTCATAATAATCACTTCTACGAGTATTACCATTATCCAAATTTAATTGATTACGATAGATATTATCGGTTACGTTAATAGGAGGCACGTGTGATTCAATATCTTTCGATTGCCATCGACCAAATAATGACCTACCTTTGCGGTAGGTAAACCAGTAATAGCTAAAACCAAGCAGTAATAAAATGCAAATAACGGCAACTATGGGAATAACGATGGTGATTGTAGCTGTGAGAAAATGAAAGAAAAAGAAATTTCACTTCCATGCAAAGACGTCTGTGCATTAGTGTAATATCGATTGTCTATAATAGAGATTGAGCTTATACGCTCGGACATGGATAAATTAAAGCCTCAGTAGGGAAACTACAGAATTTGTTGCTGTAGAATTGGTAGTAAAAGAAAACTTAATAAAATATAAGGATGATTATCCATTAATATTTGCTTTCCATAATAAATTTGAGATTAAGTATTACTAATATTAAAAGCTATACCCGTATATTATAATATCGCGAGTAATCGTCGAGGTCTTTGCCTCAGTAGAAGTATTAAAATGAATTTAAATGAGGTATAGATCTGATTAAGTGGCCGAATTTACTTTCTTAGATAAATCGAAGTCTTTTCTAAGCCAACATAATAATTATAATGGGAAGAAATAGATTTGCTTTTACTTACAAAAAAGTAAAGTAACATTAATTCAATATAAAAAAATAAGTATAGTCGTAATCTAGCGCAACTCGTGGAAATTTCGCAGTATACGAGCATGATACACGTAGTGTGCAATACGTTAGCAAAAATTTAAGGTTATATTCGTATTTAAATAGTAATGGTTATGGAGATGCTTATTATTTCATCATGTTAATGTACTCGTTTGTATTTAATTTACTTATGGTAAAAAGGTAGATTATTTTTAGGCGCAGATAAAAGTTATCCTTGATTATTAAAAGTGATTTGATCGTATTAATATTTCATTATAATTTGTTGACATATTCGAGGCTAGTTTGACATAACGTTTAAAATGCATGCCAATACCTGTATTTTGCGTCGACGGTGGTAATGTTGAAAATACCACTCCAAGTTCAACTAAAGCAGTATTATTCGGGTTTTGGATGTAATTTAATAAAGAATTCATAGCTTCTTGAGCTATCTGAGTATTTTTCTTGCTTTGCTATATTATGAAAGTGAAAGAATTGAAATTATATTGACTTCATATAACAAAAATAGTTGTTTATGGTACAAGAGTATAAGGCTGAATAATTGTAATGAAATTACATTGAATTCATATAGCTAATACAGTTATGCAAGAATAAAAGCTAAAATAAGCCAACGAGATAAATCTATCTTACGGCAACGACTTAATTTAGCGCTACTCGTATATTATTTTGGAAAAATTAAATTATAATAGGTCGAAAGTTACAATCTATTATTCTTTTAAACTTACCATAGCAAACGTGATAATTGCGAAAGTATTACTTTTAGAGTTGACTTTACATTGCAGATATAAATCTTGAGAGATACTATAACTTCTTAATAAGGTAAGATTACGTAGTCGATCACATATACGTTGGATAGTTGCACCCTAAAAGAGAAATTATGCTAGGTATCGATCATTATTTTTTAGACATATAATGTATAATTTAATGGTAAGAGAAGCTAGACTGAACCTATACCATTTTCAAATTAGTTATATTCATAAAACGAGCTTCTCGAACACAACCGTCAGGTAACAGGTTATCCATGAAAGTCCTTTGCGAGTATTAGCACATATTGCAACATTACAAGGTGACTTTAAACAGTCAAGGGCAGTTATGCTTTCACATAGACCTTGTCCTTGGCCGCACGTTGCATTTGTACAATAAGTTGGTCCACACCACACCTGAAAAAAAGCATATATGAAATAACCTAGAATAGAGTTGATCATGTCCAATCATAAGAAAAAGATAGAGATCGACGTGAATACCTTAGTACAAGATACAATTCCATTATTACATTGGCATCGATTGCATTCGTTATCAAAAGAAACTCCGTGCTTATAGGTCTGGTTAGAAATTGTACAAGATCGATAGACACCTATGCATAAATATATACAAATTCAGATATGATGAAAGAAAAATGCTCAGTTGTAATTATAAACACAAGATATAGCCTACTAGTATTGCAATTCATTCCAGTATATTCAGAAGTACAAATACATTGATATGCGTTAATGCGATCAACACATGTGCCTTGATTAAGACAAGGATTCGATGCACATTCATTAATTGCAGCTTGACATAAAACTCCTGTATATCCTGAACTGCAGCGGCAACTGTATGCATTGACTAAGTCACTGCATATAGCGTTATTAAAGCAAGGATTGGAATCACATTCTTGTATATTCGTTTGGCATAGATTGCCAGTAAAACCAGCAATGCACACACAAGTAAAAGAATTGACATCATCTATACAAGATGAAGCATTGATACATGGAGAAGAAGCACAATCATCGATATTGGTTTCGCAAAGGGAGCCAGTAAGTCCAAGCCTGTAATGTATGATTTATATTAGAAGAATAAAATTCAATCGTATTAAAGCAAGTATAATTAACAGCTAGATTTGTAAATATATTATTAACCACTAAATTGATTTAATGGTTTTACTTGGATATTTAAAGATAAATTAAAATTAGATTTTAATTAGTTATTACGAACTAGAGTAGCTTTAGATCTTATAAATATAATACAAATTGCTGTGTTGCATGGGTATTGTAACACTTTATCAGATTAGCTCTTTACTTCATATTACTATTACATTCTCAACATACGTTACTACTGTAATTAGCTGAAATCACTATATTTTTCTATACCATCAATACTAATATCTGAATATCTATTTTTCAATTATTCTACTGCATATCAGTAGATTAGATTTATTGGCCATATAATGTGTAAAAATTTTGACTTCATTATCGTATAATTAGTTAATTTACTAAATTCTAGTGTACCTGCAATGACATTGATAGCCGTTAATAAATCGACGCAAGATCCAAAATTTAAGCATGGATTTGAAGAACACTCGTTGATATTACTCAAACAGTTTTTACCCGTGTAGCCATTAGGACAAGTACAAGTATAATCATTGATTAAATCTGTACAATTTCCTCCATTTTGACATGGCGACTGTGTACAATCATTAATGTTATTTTGGCAGTTAGTGCCGTTATAGCCATCTCGACAACGACATTGATAGCCGTTAACTAAATCTTGACATGTTCCACCGTTTTGACATGGATTGCTATCACATTCTCGATCTTCTTCAAGACATTGTTTGCCATGAAAACCTTGAGTACAATTGCAATGATAGTCGCCTACTAAATCAACACATGTCGCATTATTTCTGCATGGAAGTGCAAGACAATCGTTAATATCAGTTTCGCAATGAACACCTGTATAGCCATCAGTACAAGAACATTGATAACGATTAATATCATCTTGGCATGTTCCGTGAACACAAGGCGACGATGCACATTCGTCAATATTACTCTGGCAATGACGACCCGTATAACCAGAAGTGCAGTAGCATGTATAACTACCAGGTGGAGAATTAACACATACTACCAAATTAACACATGGTCGAAAACGACATTCATCGATATCATGATTGCATGTTGTACCATCATAGCCAGTAGAGCAAGAACAGTTAAATTGATTAATTAAGTTATTACATGTCCCGTAAACACAAGGATTACTCGAACATTCATCAATTTCAGTTTGACAGTGATTGCCAGTATAGCCAGGTAGACATTGACATTGATATTGATTAATATTGTCGATACATGCTGCATCATGTTGGCACGGATTACTAAAGCATTCGTTAATATCTGTTTGACATTGCTGTCCAGTATAACCAGCCGGACATTGGCAAGTATATCGATTAATTCCATCTATACAGACTCCGTTATTTTGACATGGTACATTGACGCAATCGTCGATGTTAATTTGACAATCTTGACCTGTAAATCCGAGTAAACATTGACAAGAATAGTCGATGGCTTGATCATGGCATTGTCCGCCATTTTGGCATGGATTAAGTGTGCAATTGTCTAAACACGATTTACCTAATACATCTTCCGGACATGTACATGTATAGTCATTGACTAAGTCGGTACAATTTCCATCATGGCATGGATTGGGATCGCAATTATCGATATCAGTTTGGCAATGTATACCTGTAAAGCCTTGAATACAACTGCATTGATAGCGATTAATTTGATTAATACATGTGGCGTTATTATAACATGGGTTACTTTGACATTCATCGATTTCAGTCTGACATAATCGACCAGTATATCCAGGATTGCATCGACAGTGATAACCGTTAATGTTATCTAAACAAGATCCAAAGTAGCAAGGATTACTAGAACATTCATCGATATTAGTTTGGCACATTGTATCAGTATATCCAGGTAAGCATTGACATTGAAATTGATTAATTTGATCATAGCAGCTGCCATTA